TCGTCACCGACCGCAAAACCGCGCCAAATTGCGCGAATCCTCGTGCCATGGGATGTGAGAGATGCTTCTGTCAGGACCTCAGTTTAAAGGTTACTGCAGCTTCTATTTCTGTGCCGATGAACTTGCTCTAAAAGGAGTTTTGTTTCCTTGTGTCTAGTGAGCATTTTCACTTTTTGATATATCTCTAGTTATTCAGGAATAAATAGCTAAAATGGCCAATTAATATTCCCCAGAAAAAGTTCCTTGTTATGAAAATCAAGTCTCAAATTTTAAATTTTTGAAAAAAAAAAAAAAATCGATTTCTGCCCACAGAGTGTCGCGCTGTGCCCCGCCTCAAAAAAACCTTTAAGTACTAAAAACACTGAAATGGCTATGGTCTAAATAATACACCATCTAGGAATAAAAAGCTAAAATGGCCGAAAGGGCTAAATGACTAAAAAAGCTAATAATGGTCTATCTAGGAATAAAAAGCTAAAATGGTCAATTATTCTTCTCCAGAAAAAGATCCTTGTTTTGAAAATCAGGTCAAATTTTAAACTTTTTTTTAAAAAAAAAATCAATTTTTTCGATTTGTGCCCACAGTGTGTCGCGCTGTGCCCCGGCTCAAAAAATCTTTAAGTACTAAAATCACTGAAATGGCTATGGTCACTATAATTTCATGCACACGGGAACAACTAACGATTTTTGGCCGTTAAACGCAACTCAATAGGTTTATTTTTTTAATTTTCAATTTGGCAACGCGGTACCGGAGAAAACAATTTTTGAGAGTCTCGAAACTTTCAGATACATTTTTGTTTATGCCAAGAAATACCATATTAATGTTTCAACAAAGCAATGAAAAAGCATGAAAAGCATGTTCAAAGCAGTGATTGCGGTGCGAGAGATTTCCTCCGTTCCCGCCCCCGAATTTGATTCCTGAACATTTATAAGGTTTACTTTCCAGGGGCTTGGAATAGTGTTCTGATTTTTGGTTAAATGTTAGTGAAAATACTCTACTACATGGTCTTAAGAGTCCCATCGATAAGTGTTTTCATTTTATTTAAAGTTTTCAAGCACACTGTGGGAGTTGTTAAGCCGATCTGCGAGAACGCAGTGAAGCGCCTTCAATTTCGCTTGATACCCTAAGCATCACCGCGGAGTTAGTTTAGTTGCTTAACCCAACCGAACCTAACATGCCTTGATATTGATATTTGTCATCGCCCGCTGTGCGGGGCGTTAGAGAGGATAACAACGAAACTTCTATACTGCTATAATGTCTTGTTTAAACATCATAAGCTAGATATCTTACAACTGGAACAAAAAGAACACTGACATGCACGACGGACCATAAAAAATTTTAAAAAAAAAATGTCAATGCGCTGGAAGACTGGTTAGACTTAACAATATTTGCATTGAGTTTTCAATAAATGGAAAAATAAGAAATCTCACGAAAAGGAAAACAATCATTATTTCTATTCAAATTGAGAGAATCTGGAAAGGAAAGATAGTAACTAACACAGGTTAGTTGATTTCCATACAACCATCGACATTGATAAAAACTATTTGCGCCTCTTGTATTCCTCTCCTTCTCCTTTAATAAGTGCCGCTTGCCTCTGGCTTGAAATTAAACACATTTAAAGACACCATTGCGACTAATTAACAGATTCAAGCAGAACAGCGAAGAAATGTAGAAGGACTGAGAGGGGAGAAAACGAGAGCAATGGAGGAGGAATAATTAATTAAAAAATGTTTACATGTAGTTGGTATCCCATCAAACTTTTTCCCGAGGAAAAAAGTCGGACGGAGGCAAAAGGACTTTCATATGCTTTCAGACATTCAAGAACGGATTCTTTGCCAAGTTTTAATATCTTCGTCTTAATTCGAAGCTTTAAAATATTTCGTTAAGATGCATTCTGAAGTGAAGACCCGCATTTCATGCTATTTTAATCCATAGGAAAAATTGAGCTATCCAAGATTGGCTCATAAAATCACTTTCAGTCTTGAATGACTTATATTTTTAGATGAACGACTCTTGAGAAATCGTGCTCCATTTTTAAGGAGCAGAGCAACGATTCGCGATCTGTTTGTGTTACCATCCTTCCACTAGCCTCATTTATTCGAGACCTTAATTGAAACTTTTGTCAATATAAGAGAAAAACGACAGTACCCATCACAGTATCTTAGATTCCATCTTTTAAAAATATACTGAAAATTTATTTTTTAGTCAGACACTTGATATTTGGCAACGAGAGAAAACAAGAGCCTGTGAGTTTGAGAGTTTAAAGATATCATTTGTAGGGTGGCAGAGATTCCTTTAGAAGAGAAGGGAAGAGTGAAAATTCTGACAACCTCGGCCAGTGACACCCTTGGTCTCTTCCACCTTGCTTTCATCAGTAGGTGTGACGCACATTTGCACTGATCATTTAATGTGAAACTCGGTTGAAAGCAAGGTGGAAGAGACCAAGGGTGTCACTACCGCGGTGGATGACGTCAAAAACCCGACTTTCAAAGGGCGATATCTCGGTTAATATTGAACGTAGAAAGTTGCGGTTTAGACAGATCATATTATTTTTGACTAATCTCAGCGCAAGTGACCCATTGAGGATTACGCATTGTCTGTCTTAGGGTTCATTGTGGTGGCGGCTTGCGTGATGACGTTCGAGGCCCGGGATACGGCGGCGAAGGTGGCGGCGGCGCGAGGGAAGGCGAGCCAAAGCTCGACGCACCGCGCAAGCAAGCACAGCCCGCGGGAGGGGACCGGGAGCAAGCAGACCAGCTTCCGGGACAGCGAGCGCCGCAAAACCAGCAGCTCCCAGCTCAACAAATGGGACTACGGCCAGGGACACAAGGGCCGCTGCGACAGCTTCGTCGAGACCTCCAGCGGGCCCCGCTCGCCTATCTCCACCGAGGTGAGCACCTTCACTATTCACGGCCCTATAGTCGCTCCTTATCGTGATTTGTCCCGGCTTCTGATGTGGTCGAACGGGAGAGCGATATATCGAATCGATTAATTAAAAAAAACTAAGACTAAAAATTCATTATCTGCCGAGATTTTTTACTAAATGGATGCGCTATATCGCAAGCAAGTTCAACCACGCCAGATTCCAGGACCAATGACTTTCAACTGCTCTTTTCCTTAGAAAAGCCCCTTGTCGAGGGCTAAGGAATAATATCACTCAACTGCCAATTTTGGGGGAAATGAATTAACGCCTTTGCATCATTCTACAGTGTAAAATACGAAAGTTGGAGTTTCTAGTTTGCCGCATCGAAGCGCTGTAATGATGCTATAACGTATTTTAAAAAAAGTTGCAAACCTAACAAACATGACGGGGTTCTTCCTTCGTCCTGTGCACTCGTCAGTTTACTACTCAGAATAATGAAAAATATTCAGAGTAGTACATACTCTTAGGCGAATCCAGGGCGGGCGTGGAGGGCGTACGTCCCCCGTCCCCCGTTCGCCCAAAAAAAAGAGGGGAAAAAAAGGAAGGAATTGAGGAATGAAGGAAGGAAAGACGCTTACATTTGGCAATTATTCATGGCGAAATGAACTCAAACTGCATTATAGATGCTTCAAAAATCTTCTGGAGGAGGCCCCCGGACCCCCTATACAGCCACCCCCCTCCGAGCGTATCTGGATCCGCCTATGTGCACACGTATTAGCAACGACTATCATAGAATGTGGATTGTTTTGGGTTGCAGGTGATGTCGCGGCGTGCTCTGACAGCGGCCTTCATCCAGTTCTCGCGGACCCTGGAGCAGGGCCCGAACCCCCTGGGCAAGATCCCCCTCAGCGTGGCTGGGATAAACCGGTGCCCCTCAGCGCCGAGCCTGGTCGACTCCGAGACGAAGGATCTGAAGCTGGGCGGCGGCGGTGGGGACTCTCCGATCCTCTTCATGTCGGCCAAGGCGTCGCAAGTGTTGCCCTCCCGGATGGCCGTGCCGAGCAGCTACATCTACCAGCAGCGCCGCGACCGGGTCGCCCCCGGCTCCGGCTGCACCCTCCTCAACCCGCACAGCCTCCTCAAGCGGCAGGCCATGTCCGTCGACATCCCCGACTACTGCTCCTTCTTCTCGCCCCCGCGCACCCCTCAGCATGTCTCCCGACAAGGCTCCGGCCACAGCGGCAGCCGCGAGTCCGTTGGGGGTCCCGATCCCATCTCTGACAACTCGCTCAGGTTTGTAGCCTTCAATTTTTTTCAACCTTTCAATTGGACGTATTTCTATCAAACGGACCTAAGCGCCATAGGGTGAGGAAGGTAGAGGGGGGCTTGGATTGGCGGCGGAATCGGGCGTCCGGCTTATTCCGTCCTATACTCGCAATGCTTTTCCATGGCGCTTAGGTCCGTTTGACAGAACGCGCTATCCGGCATTCTAAATTCCTCAAAAGGAGCTCAAATTAGCGCTTAGTTCCGTTTGATAGAAATACGTCCAATTCAAAAGCCAGGCCGTCCAATTTCCAGTATTTACAGGAGTGTTGCATACAAAATCCGTCGAGTCTACGTCACTGAGAGTCTGGAAGCATTCGTAAATTACGTAAAACCCGTATTATACGATCAAAAAAGAGCGTTCAAAGTGGCTTTACGTGGGGTCACGTAACCCTACATTGCCTTCAAAGCCCGATAGTCTTTGAGGGTCACGTGACATCACTTTGAGAAATCAATTTTGATCGTAAGAAACGGGCTTAACGTACCTTTTCAGCATTTTTGATACGGCATGAGAAATCATCATGCACCATCATGATTGGCATTTTGACGAAACGACTTATGTGGTATGATAATGTTCAGATACTGGCAGGAGATAGGTTACCCAAGAGGGTCCTAGTTTGGGTTCCTTCTCAGAGAGGGCGCAAAGGGCGTCCATCGAGAAAAAGGAAGGATGAGATCGTGGCAGAAATGTCAAGATACTCAATTATCGAAGGGTTATGGTTCAATTGAGGACAATGGCATCAGATGTCTTAGAACGCCAGGGAGTGTTGTAAAGCCACATGTTTACGTATGCCAATAGCGACCATCATTTTAGTGTGTTGCGAATATACATACATGAGATTTCAAATCGAGTTGGTATGACCTTATGGCAGGTGTATGGAGGGACAGCAGAACCGTGATCGGGAGAGAGGGTCGCAAGCATCGATGGCGATGGACCTTCACTTGCCGGACTACCCGGTGACTCTGAGGATCAAGGATCGCACGAAACAGGACAAGAACCAAGGACCGTCCAAATCGCCGAGCTTCCAGCGCCGCCAGCTGCTCAGGCGACAGACCCAAATAGAACATCACGAGGCGGACGGGTAAGATGTGCCCATTTTCAGGTTTGCCCATGGAGCACAGAGATGTTCTATGTTCGTCTTACCTCAATGAGGCAATTTGATGCAAAAGGGAGCAACGTACATTTTTCTGATGAGCCCCACAACACTAGTCTTCTTACGTATACTGGGGCTCATTAGCAAAATGGACTTGGATCCCTTTGCTCCAAGCCTTAAATAAACGAACCAGCTCGCAACTCAGTTTATGATTTCAACCGTTTTCAATCGCTTGTTTTCTTCCCATTTCTTTGAATTAAAAAATAAATGTTTTCAAACTATTGAAGAAATCATGTACGAGTAGAATGTTTAAAAGTTTGCAAGATTTTTAAATTTTTTTTTTTTTTTTTTTTTTTAGGGTAAATTCTCTTACGTTTCTCTCCCTCCCTCCCTCTGGACAATACTGATTGCTAGCGGCTAAAAAAAAGCTTTCAGGCGCAGCAAATTTGAAAATGTATCAAATGAAGCACGTGAAGCGTGAATCGAGGATTAGATTGCTGACAATTTTGTTACGCTCACTGTCTTTTTTGCACGATTCTACCAACTGATAAATCACTCAGTTGACTGCATCTCTTGTGTGCAAAAATCCATTGAATCCAAACATTGCTCCTTTTAAATCAACTGAAATTATTTTTTTAAAGCAACCGGTTCTATATATCTTTTGAAAAAAAAACTTGAACTCCGTAAAAACTTTCACCAGAATTTTTTTTTTTTTTTTTTTTTTTTTTTTTTTTTCAAATAAGTTTCGGGCGAGGTAATTTTTACACGGAGAGTATATATACACATCAATCGTATTCATGAGCTCCTTGACTTTTAGAAGCAACCGGAATTCTATCGCAAAAATATTTAATGGAAGCTCTTGTATAATTAGATAGACAGCTTTATTGATGTTTTCCAGGGTGCGTCCTTCAACTGCACTCTTTTTAAAGTAACTTTATTCTCATGCAGGTATCAGCAAGAGGGCTTGGAGTCTCGCTCAATGCCTCACAGCCGACAGGAATCCTTCGTCGCCCGACTGTCCCCGCGCTCAAGCTTCGACGATTCAGCCAGGATGCGAATCCTCGAAGCCCCACGAGACTCCATAGCAGGTAATTACAGATTTATGAGGGTTTATTTGTTTGTGCCGACGCACTCTGAACTGAGTCAATTGTTGTCCCGAAGAAATTTATCACTAAATGGAGTGATCAATAATGCACTGGTTACGTGTCCATCTTCATGAAAATCACGCGAAACACAAATGCGTACTTAAAAATACTAAAATTAACTTGTAAATGACATGTTTTACTTAGGCATTTGTGCGCGACGTTGAGCTTGGAATTGAGCAGATAGGCGTCCGAAGAAATTGAGTTAGATTCTGCGTAAACTTCTGCGGTCTCTTTGTAAAGTTAAACAATCCCAGTCAATTTACCCCCGGTCAGTGCGCCTTCACTTTCATCTGATACTGTGCAATACTTCTGTGCCGATATAGTTGCTGAAAACGCCGTTGAAATAACGCTTCAGCTAAAGTGCACTCTAGCGCACGTGCAGTTACACATTTTTTCATCACCGATAGTGAGGTAAAAAACATTCATACCTCAATTTCCGACGTTGCAGGTTTTTAACTACTGATTCCGTGTAGGAAAAACAATATGAACACTTTAAAATCTGCCGAGATTTTTCGGAGATAAGATGGAAAATACTCGTTCAATATCCTAAAGAAAATATCATTTCGTTCCTTGAAATGCTAACTTTCCTCTCTACACAATAATTATTCCTGCCCCATTCTTCCTCTCAACCCTGCAATTTCACTCCACTGGCTGATAGAAGCCCCTCCTCAATGCCGATGATGTCATCTAAGTCGCCTGTTGATGACGACATCATGATGACAGCAGAGGTGGCCGTCGATGACGTCATTGAAGGCGCCCCTCGATGACGTCATCAAAGACGCCTCACCTCATCAGGTTTTAAGTAAGATTTTAAAGTTTTTTTTTTTTTAAACTTAACATTTCCGCCAAATACGTGCATGTTTTTTAGATGTAACATCATTTTGATAACCGATTGCAGGGATGGCGAATCAGAAGTACAAATACTCCCGCGCGAAAACCTTCGACGAGTCGTCGGCGGTGGGTTCGACGAAGGGACGACAAAAAGGCTCTGGGAAAAGACGGCAGAGACGCAAATCGGACGACCGGAGGCGGTGCTCGATCCCGACCCCAGAACCGACGACCCCCGTGAGCCCCCACCGGCGGAGATCACCGGCCGCCTCCAGAGAGATCTCGCCGGCCGCCTCCAGGATGGACGCCTTGAATCTCAAGGAGCAGTATGAGCAACCACCCGGCAGCCCGATGACCGTCATCAACATCCAGAGTCCCATAATGATCCACCCCACAGCTCAAAGTACCGATAAGACTGATCATAACGCTAGCGTACAAGTCCATGAAAATCCCAGTGCCGCAAACTAAATACCATTGCCTCATGACACACACTGAAAAAACAGTCCGGCATGTGGAAGTCATACTTACGGGCTGCATAGACATACCGTTCACTTTCCAGGCTCGGAGGCCGAAAGTTCCGGATGTGACAGCCGGAGCAGTTGAAGTTACGGCTCCAGCAACTTCCGGCCTCTGAGCCTGCAACCGACGGTATGTCCGCACAGCTCGTGACTTTTTTTCCAGTGCAGTGGGTCCGTTTCGCAAATTCAAAAACCCTCACTTTTTTGGCATTGTTGTGTTCAAGTGCGGTTTGTATATTCTAGCCTCAGAACATTTTTAAATATTTCTCAACCTTGTGAGCTTCCTTGAAATATCTCACCGAAATTTCAAATATTCCCGATCTTCCTTCTCTTTCAAAGGATCTGGAGAAAGTTTACTCACTCAAAATGTTCAAAAAAACCAAATTTAGATGTGGAAAAAATTTAATTTTGAAATGTAGTTCGTATTAAGAGGGGAACTTCACGCCTCATTCAAAAGACACGGCTAAAATACTGTCAAAATGAGATTTTTTAATGTTGTAAACTCTTGTCGCACATGCTCTGAAACCAATCCTTTAATAATGATGAAGGCCAGTAAAACTGAAATTACCGATGCCGCGTTCAGAATTCATCTGGGACTTATTAAAGAGGCTGCTCAGGGATTATCTAGACATGACTGAACCTCACTCGCATAGCTCTGTCGTGCGCATTACGAATATTAAAATGCAGGCGCCGAGCTTCGGAAATAACTCTCTCCAGGAAAGTGTAAATTAGCATTCTCTCAATCACAAATACGCTGGCACTAGCCCCTATCAAGTGAAGACGAGCTCAGGTTGGCTAAGACAATCTCATCACGGAGGGGGGAGGGGAGAGAAAACTTGGTACTTCCCTTAACTCCTTTGGCTACGTGCCTGGACTGCTTAAGCGGTATCTATCGATTGTTCAACTTGAAGGGATTTGATGAGACAACCAGTGGCGTGGCGTGAATTGCGATATATCGATTGTTATGCTACTTAAACCTATGAAAAAAGATCGATTATCAGGGTGTTCGCAGCGAACACCTTAGCAATCGATTCTTTACCGTAGCCTCAAATGGCGAGATATCGATAATCGATTATTCACGCCACGCCACTGGAGACAACAGGAGATGGCGAGACGAGGTCGGGTCTCCTCCTGGAGCGAAAAGGTCATTCATAAATTACGTGATGGAATTTTCATCTTTTCAAACCCTTCTCCTTTCGTGCGCAGTTATGTCCAAGTCCTGAGGCAAACCCCCACCCGCATCCCCCCACACACAAAAAAACCGTAGCGATCTGCCTTTGCTCTTTATTAGAGAATTTGCAGGTGTCTGTTTGTGAATTTTATGTTCAAAATGAAATTACTACGAGAACTGAGCACAAGGATATCCTTGGTTTCTAAATTGAACAATTATTGGAGGAAATAGGACAAAATAACCTAATCTGCTAAGATACATATGTTTGAATGGGAAATGCCGCCGGATGACGTCTCAAGGCGACAAATTATCTCACTTTTAAAACAATTTTTCTACAATTCCCCATGTTAGAAAAAAATAATGAAAAATACCGCGAACTCAGCTCATTACGCACTCTCAGATGAAGCAATACAATTATGTGTGAAAATTCTCCATTCAGCATCGACATTTTCTAATGAAACAGTGGCATATAATTTTTGCATGGTTTTCTTATAGCTTTTTTTACATTCGATTTTGTGGAACATCAAAAAAATTCATTAAAAGTTCAAAAAATCACTCTCAAGGAGAGGAAAAGCTAATCAAAATCCGATCAATCAAAAGCCGAAAGTCAAATTGACGTGACAGGAGGCTTTCCGCGAGTGGATTTGGTTGACTCTGTCGGCCAGATCGGTAGGGCTGTAGCCCGGCTAAAATCAGAAACTGAACTCATTTCCTTGAGAAATTGTGGCCAAAGTTTGCATCAATCCACTTTCTGACCCACCTCGGGGCCCACCATGAACCTCATTAATGAGCAATGAGATGAACAATGAGTATACTTCGCGCGATTTTCAGCCTGGCGCCGGATTCGGTTTGACTACCTTTCCCTCCAGAACCCTGACATCATTTGTAGACGGTCCTTTCGTTTTGGATTTTGGGGTATTATTTCTCTAATTCAGATGCACAGAGTGGCCCTACACGCACTGGTGGATTTTAGGAAAATGGTGGAAAATTACTTGTTGACCAATGCTCATCAATTTGAAATTATAACCTCTAGGAACATGGAAACCGCTCCCATCCAAAATTAAGCATTCTTGGATTCTTAACCCGACACTTTCGAAGCCATATCAACAGTGAGGTTGAGTGATTATTGAAGAATTCTTTCCGTTTGAAGTTCCGGTTGGCGCCTCTCTCTAATTAATTAGAGTGAATGCTATTCCGGTTAAAGTTTGCCAAGTGAGGGGAAATATTTTCTAACCCGTCGCGTAAAATTCTTTAAAAGAAAGATTTACATCCGGCTGTCTGGCAATGTTGTCCGGCTCCCCACATTCCATGCGTTCCCTTCCCTCACCTCTTCAACTCCTTTGCAACTGTAAGCAAAGCTCCCTTCTTACTTCCCACAGCTCGCATTGGTACTGCCAGATCGCTCCAGAAATGTATATTTTTTGGAACATCCCAACTACAAAATTTTATTTCCACTAATAATTTTGAAACGATAAAACTAAATTTTACTATAAGTGCGCTGCAAAGCTTAATTTACGAATTTAACTTCCTTTTAAAGAGATCACAATAACAAGAGAAGTGGTAAAAATTACCTGCAGCCCAAAGTAATCGCATGGAGAGGAACTAAAAATCTGTGAAAGCCGTAATTCAGATGCAACGTATTTGAATAACATGAAATTTTAGTAGGCTGTCATTTTTTTCGTTCATTCTTTTTCGGCAATTGATGTTTAGACTTGGAGGTATATATTAGGTTACCCTCGATGATTTTGGAATATTTTTATAGGTTCACCACGATATGTTTGCTTAATTTTAGTGAAAAATTAGAAAAATAGTCTTGTAACCAATAATGCTCAATGTGATTCTTTTAAATGTTAACGTATTTTTAAGGCTATAGGGCTCGAGCAATAATTCGTAACAATTCGAGTAATAGATAGGAATGATTTTAGATGTGACGAACCTGCGAACTCAGTAGGATCTTAGAATTAGCATATCTGGAAAATAAGTTAACTCATAGATATGTTCTTGTTTTCCTTCTCTTTTTTTTTAAAAAAAAAAACCGTCATTAAATTAATGTGTAAGGAATATAAATCGAAAAGCCCGTACACATCCATTATGAAATGAATGTCGAGGTAGAAGAGGAAAATGAAGGATAAAGTAGGAAGTCCGCGATACTGTTTCGGAACGACGAGAGACAGAAAAAATGGAAACAAAAAACTTGATGTTATTCGCCTGGTTTCGAAAAACCAGTGAATGAAAATTCCCTACATATTTCACACTTATTCCAACGAAAAAATGCACGCTTTTCGATACTGGCAGTAAAACTACAAAACCATAAAACCACAAAGAAGGAAGCATGCCCAAAACGTTTGCTTAAAAATGTTTATGCATGTTGTTTTTTAGGTAAGTGTTCTATGGAATGTTAGCTTGCTGTTTTTCAGTTTCAATCATTGTTTAATAATTAATATGTCCTCTGCAAAACTTATAATCGTTGAGTAAATCTCATTTACAATTAGTTGACACAACTCCTCGTATAAATTAAATTCAAAGGATAGCCTTTTTCCTTGAATTTTATACTCGTAATAATATTTATACTCATGTTATTTTGGAAACATTTTCGTTAGCGTAATTTTTTTGATGAATTTTTATATTTTTAAAACTGTATTCCACACTTATTTTTAAAATAATTCCTTTTGGTTTAATTACGAGTATTCAAAATAATATGTTACATTCAAGATCTATGTAAATGATTGCTTATTTCTATTAGAGGATTTTGCACACAAAAAAATGACGCAAATCTAGGATGATGAAGGTGACTATTCAGAACCTCACAGACGTAATTTTACGTAAAAAGAACAATGTCTTTTGCTATTCTCACGAGCACAACAACAAGAAATTAAAATGTTTTTAAAACAAATTATAGAATTCCCATCATAATACATAAGTGCGTTAGCTATTGCAGATGTACCTACGTTTTAATACTGCTTTCTCCGCGCTCCAAACAATTGCTCGCAGTATATAGTTTGGTGGAAAAAAAGAAGGAGATACATGTTTTAAAAAAGTAGCAAAGCTCGGTGTTACAGAAGAAGAACGTTCCTTTTAGTTTCAAATTATTTAAAGCTTTACTCGTTTGTTTCCTCGTTATCAGAGATTTTCAACCACCACGTTTCTATTTTTCATGACATTAAAAAAACGATTATAAATTAAATCCTAAAAGTGGAATAAAAAATATATTCTAATTTTTTTTCAAAATCAGGTTCCTTTTTCAATGTCGACACTCACAAGGTATGAATAAAATTTTGTACCTACCTATTCCATGTTTATTTCTTTCAATAATCATAAGCAGTTACCCAGAAACCCATTGCAGAATCTTATTTTCCGCATTAGTGTTTTTAGAACATCCTTCAAAGCTGAAACTATGTTATAAATGGTAACAAAACAATAAATTAGGAGTCATTTCTAAGTGCAGCCGCCAAGCTGCCAAGTGCGTCGGGTTTTTTTCATCATTATCAATTTTCAAATACTATGTGGTGATCAAAAAATAAAAACTGAGGTCAGTTTTGGGTTCATCGGCCAAAAGTATTGAAGATCAATAGACTCCTGTTGATACTTGCTTATTTTTAACGCTGAGCTACCTGTGTGCTTCAGTTTTCAGACATTTCATGGTGCATTTTTACGTATTGTGTGTTGCTTAATCCAAAAATGAACTAACTTTTTCTCCAGAAAATCCCCCTTTTCCTGAAGAGAAACGTTGTTGAAAAAAAAATTGACACTATGGAACGTTAGCATATTTTTCCCCCAAACATAGGGCTTTAAAATATATCAGATCAATTAAGTGCCTTTTGAGATGAGGCATGATAAAAAAATTGCAGGGCTGCGATATTCAAAACGTGGTCAGTTTTTTTAAACTTCATTCAGTTACTGCTATTTACAGTGTAACATTTTCGTTTTCCTTAGTTCTCCCTTGGAAAATGTATAACCCTGGAAAGTTTTAATTGGAAAGTTGGCATAACATAGTTCCCTTTGTTTTCCTAAAAGCGTAGCTTTCCGCAAATTTCTCCAATAGACAACCCAGCAGGGCCTGGAAGTTCGACATTTTACTTTACTCGCTCCTTTTTGTCAAATTAATCTTTAGTCCCTTGAAGTTTAGCTGAGGAGACAGCTTGACTTTAGTTAAATCTGAACTTATGCCAAACTCAAATACGAGCAAAACTTACTGCATGTTCTTTAAAGTGACCTTAAAATGATAAATTTAAACTTTTGACACGGGACTCGATTGATTTTCTACCAAGGTGAACCCAAAACCTTCCGCATCCCGACTTGAATTTCTGCAAACTTCCTGTTTTACTTCAATTTTAAATAAGAATCCATTCAATATTGGTTCCTGATTATTTTTTGGCTCCTTCTAAATGAAAACCAATCTATAAAAAATTTTAGACTGAAAAAATGTCGACCGATAGGAGCAATTATTCCTCTGGTGAAAAAAGGAACGAACTGCAAGCGATAATTACGAGACTCGTCTATTTCTAGTTTCACCGTGGATTTAGAATTCGAAATGGTGGCATCGTGCCACTATTTTCGTAACAGGATGAGATTAAGAGAGAGCATTAGAATAATTGCAATGAAAGGATATTTAGTGGTAAGATCGTTATGAAACGGAGAGGATCAGGGGTACTCATGAATATAAATATGGAAGGTGGGGTTGGGGTTGCGGGGGTGCGAGGGGGAAAGTGGGGGCATATCCCGCGGCTATTTTTATACGCCGAATTGAGTTATGCTCCCCAGGCGTGATATCGATCCTGCGCTCCAGCCTGTTGAGACCGTCGAGAGAGAGCCCTATCATTAAGCTAAGTGTCTCGCAAAGTGAGAAAAAATATAGAATAAAATAATCAAAAAAAACCTCCCTGCGGTAAGCAAAAAATTAAAGAGCAAGCAGCGTTTCAGTTACTCACGCCGGCGAACATTTTGAAATAATGTGACCGACTACGGGGAAAAGGGCTTTCATGCACGGAGACAAAGTTCATGAGAGCAATATTTGCCAAGTCGTCTCCTTCCGGTGAAATTATCTAAAACATAATTTATATCGGAATAGAGTCATGAATCGTATCGGCATCCTTAGATCCTTCACAAATGAAAATGAAATTGATTTTTGCTACAGTGTGTAGTAATCATCAATTACGATAAAAACAAAACTACGGTGAAAATTCAATATTTGCAGCATTCTCTAGATTTCCCTGCAGACATCTTAATTTTTCAGTGAAAGAAACTAGATAATTCTGATACCTTCTGTGGATATTTGACTATTAACAGAATAGCATGTCTTAATGGAAATCAGTGGCCAAACAACTTGGAATTTGCCTCTTTGTAAAAATTCCTTCAGTTTTTTTTTTTATTTTTTTTGTCTTATTTAACTCCACCATCCAGGCAAATGTGCTTCATCTACAATTTATCTAGAAAAAGGTCAAAAATAATCAAACGGGAAATCAAGGCTAGTGAACAAACAAAATGCTTGGGACGTTTCAGGTTGGTTTCAACGCCTTGTTCGACTAGGAAACAAAAATGTAATAAATTTAATAAAAATCAATAACCGACGGACCCCCACTTGTAATAGAAAAGAGAGGCTTTTTCAAGCGATTTTTTGTTTCCTAGCCTTGGTTCCCTATTTTGTTGCGTTTGTTTTCGTTAAATTATTCGGCCTATTTTTGTGTAATTTTTCTTTTTCTGTTGGATCAACAGGAATCCCTGATAAAAGGGTATGCCTCGACAGGAATTTTTGCCATGAAACTACAGGAAATCTCCTCCTTTTAAGCAGTATTCATACCCACTGATCTAAAAACTCTTTGACTTCCTTGTACCAATCACCAGGACCCGAAAATCGTAAGACATTTTCCAACATCCGGATGAATGACTCGACGCATAAATTTCAATCAGCAGGGATATCAATTAAACAAAAACAAATCACTCTCAGAACCAGGGCCGGATTAAGGGGGTGGCCACATGGGCCGTGGCTCATGGCGGCAAATCTAAGGGGCGGCAAAAATTTGCGATTTTTTAAAGTGTAGGTATAAAAAAAAATTGGATTTATAAAAACAAAATTACAAACGAGAAAAAAAAAAAAAAACATCGACAAAATCTCTCATTTCCTGAGAGTACAGTAATTTCTAATTTTGTCGTCTCTTAGTGATACAAGAGACAGCCACCTTCAATAAGTCGAGTTACGAGAGAAATCAAACACGCAATTTGGCCTAGAACGGCGCAACTTAGAGAGAAATGATAACGAGGACTTGAGATGAAAAGGAGAAGCCCTCGGCGCGGCGATTGGCATGTAACACACATTAGCGCCCACAAGACTGCACGAATACTTCACGCATTGCATCAAACACAGTGCGGTCATTGCGGTCAGCGTGAAACGGATAGCGCCTACAAGGCTGCGAGAATACTTCACGCATTGCGCCAAACACAACACGTTCAGCAGCGGTCGCCGGTGTGAGACTCATAGCGCCTACAAAACTGTCGGAATACTTCAAGCATTGCGCCAAACACGGTGCGGTCTGCGCGGCGCGGCGGTGAAAGTTAAAATCATTGAACCACATTTATGCTTGTTCTTTCATAATTTTTTGGTTCATTTCTTATGAATGGAAGGCCTTGTCCACACAGATATAGGTTTACGGAACTTAACTTTCGCGCAAACTTCCGTGAACTTTTGCTAGTAGTGTTGACAGGGCTTCCACAAAAAATGTGTTCAACACGAATAAATGCGTCTTATGCACCCCTCCCCCGCTGGCACGTTCATTTGATGGTTTTAATCGAGTTTCAAAACGAATGAGGAGGGGGCGGCAAATTACAGACGGCCATGGGCGGCAAGTAGGTGAATCCGGCCCTGCTCAGAACCATACACAGAATTATTCAAGCTTGCTAACTTTAAAAAACAAAAAAAATCCAGTCTTTTCAAAAAAAATTTCTTTACCATCCTGCTTTCTGGTGTTATTTTATGGTGCAAAGTAGAACCCAAGAAATTAAAGACTCTGGGTCACGATGAGGTAAACTTGGCATTTCAGATGACCTTGTCACTTTGAAGAAATTTCCGGTTGATTCAACGAGAATCCCTGTCGCGGCATGTTTAATAAGAGCATTTTCCTCAGTGTGAGATTTGCGTGTTCCAAAGTTCTTTTTGATTTAATTCATTTGTACATAGATCCTTTTTGCATCCGAATGAGTGAAGGAATCTCGACACGATAGCGTCGCGCCGCGGGGCCCGCGGGGCAGGCAGACTCGTCAAAATTTAATAATTCATCCGTTAGAATGTTTAACCTTTGAGAGCGACCACAAACGAAGCACGTAAGAAGTATTTTAATGGGAGGAATCGATCCACTCAGTTTACACGTACAAACTCGAGTCCGTTCTAGAAGTTCAGTTGGACCCGTGTCACGCACGTGGCTAGTTGCGACTTTTTCCGTCTCGCCGTTGGCCGTTCTTTCATCGCCTCCCGCCATCGTCGTTTCATTCATCCGAATCGTCTGATCTCATTCCACACTTGATTCCTTGTTCTTTCGCAATGTCATCGATACTTATTTCTTCGTTTTACAAGCTACTTTAAACACAGGAGCAATGTTTACAACAACGGATTCGTTTTTTCAACGGAGGGCTTGGCGCTAAATCGGACTCTTAACGTGTGATTCGTGTTCATGGTTAAATAATATCAAAAAAGTGATACACATTAACGCTTGAATTTCTGAGGCACACGCGTTTTGAGTGTCAAGAAAATCCTAAAAATTTGACTGCGTCGTTTGTGGAGAACTGTGTGAAACTTTGCCGCTAAAAACGGGACGCTTGAATTTCTGAGGCACACGCATTTTGAATGTCAAGAAAATCCTATTAATCTGACTGCGTCGTTTGTGGAGAACTGTGTGAAACTTTGCCGCTAAAAACGGGATCTCGTATTTTACTAAATTACCGTTTTTCAGGGGCCCACTTGATTTGAATTTTGCAGACCTCGTAAAACCTTGATGGTACAGCAGACACTGCGTCGCTTGTGAGAACCTGTGACAACCCAAATGTGTTTTGTGATCATGGAATCCTCTCTGCCACAATTCCAAACGCCACATTTGCGTAATTGCTCGCCGATCTCACATGTTCCGAGGATGATTTTTATATGCATTTGATGGTACTGATTTCAGTGTCGAATCCAAACCCGCCGACTTTAACTTAAACGTCCAAAGATGCCCTTCGAACGTCAAACACAATCTTAACATCAAACCCAAGTGTAAAAGTCGAGAGACATCGACGTAAAGCCACAAACTGTTGGATTCGAATTCCAAATAGTGTTAGTTCTCGACGCTGATAATCGAATTCAGGAATTTTACGCGCACCCGCCGAGGAGCGGTTAGAGTGCTGTGGAAACTTGGTCAAAGATGGGGGTGTTATTGCCGAGTTAAGGGTTCTTTTTCTTCCTGTCTTTTTTATTTTGAGTGAGCGCGAAATAAGATGGGCTGTAGTGGGAGTTCCCCGTTAGTGCCGTCGCACAACGCTCCGACGTCGAACGGGATGCGAGGCGAGCCCCCCGGCTACGATCTGCACCCGCCGTCGTCGACCAACAACAACGGGTTCCTGAACACGGCCAAGAGCTCCTGGGTAGGGCTCGGCGATAACGTGGAGGACACCATCAACCAGGCCGCCGAGGGCGTTAAGCAAACCTTCAGCACCAAATTCCACGGTAGGTGACTTCGCTATAATATATTATATATTATAGCAATCTATAGCAATACGATATTATGACAATCCGCTGCACCAAGTAGTTGACTCGGACTATCATTTTGACCTCATTTTGTAATTCTGCTGTGCAACGCAAAAACGCCGTAAACGACATTTTACATTTCTTGGAGACAATTTATCGTAGCAGAAAAACTTGCGTACCTCGGAACAATGTTTTTTTACAGAATTCTCTCGCAAATACTATGAAGAACTTAACCTGAAAACTTTAATTGCATGGGTAAAAAAGTTTTAGTTTTATAAAGTCTTAAGTTCAAAAAAATTAGGGAAAATCTTGATGGATTTACGGCGTTCTTACTTGGCGCAGTAGAATTAGGAACTACGATTTCTGACTAATTTGTAAAAGCACTCATCCAAATGGCAACACTGATGACACATATCAGGGCTAACAGCCTAACTGACAATTTTGGTGAAAAAAAAGTTAGCGACTATGCATTCTACGATATTAAGTACGCAAGCTGATGATTTTAGTTTTTCCAATTCTGTAGGGGAGCACTTCAATGACGCTGTAATGTATGAAAAAATGCAAATCTAGCCCTAAAATTACAAAAATGACGAAGATTCCTGCTCGTTTTGCAAAATCGTCGATTTGCAGATGGGCGAAATTGTTCGTCAGCCATCGATATGCAGAGGTGTTACCAGATTTTTTGAACGAGATGGGGGCGGAAAGGGGTCTGGAAGGTTGTTCTTAGAAAATTCTCAAAATTTTCAAGCATCTAATATCCACTTTGAGTCAATTTCATCATGAACAATTACCAAATTGGAATTAGAAATTTCAACGGCATTCTCATTTGTGTACTCTAAAAAATTAAATGAGTACGGTTTCCTCTTGAATTCGCCCATGATAATTTGTGGACACGGGCCTCTATGAGTTTTCAAGAAGCCTTAAATTTGCGGAAAAAATAAGCAAAAATACTATTGGGTCTATTAACTCAACTTGTAGAAGTGTATAAGCGTGAACACTGCAGTCTGCAGCCGGTGATCAACTAACTTCCTGCAACTTGAATCGCCTTCAATCAATCGGGTAGGCAAGAAACACTCCCTCGTGTTCGAATAGTGGTATTCTAATCATCACTCATATTCCAACAAAAAGCTTTTTGCGCTGAAATCCTGCTTTTCCTTACCCTAAAGATGACAGATTTTCCGGATAGTACTTACTTTCTCCTCATATTGCTTTTAAAAGCAATTTTTTTTCATAGAGATTAATTAAACGCGTATACTGATCGACAGTGGCTCCTTTGAAGAATTCTAATAATCAACTTAAAAGAAAGTTTCGTGTTTCCAACAAAATCTCAGTTTTATATTCCAAATATACCCCAAATCTTCGTTTGGAACTTTCAATTAAAGTGAGGAAATAAGAATAAAAACCTCTTCCTCCCATTTCCTACACGGCAATTTTTTTAAATATTGTCAGTGTGGGTGTTGTTAAAAGAAAAGAAAAACTTCAGTGGTAACATTCATAATGACTCTAATTTCGTTCAAAGTATGAGATTTGCGTGATGTTTGGTAAAAAATATGGGAATTGAATACTTAGCATCAATCAAGCGCATATTAAGCTCCACATTAGGTTTGTAAGAGTGCGGTTTTCTCGTGATGCACTGGACAGGTCCTGGGTAATTAATCAATTCAACTTGTGTGGAACTTCAAGGTTCTTACGCGTTCCAAGATGGAGGTGAACTTTTTGTTCTCACCCAATTTACTCTCTCCTGATTAACCTAGTCATCGTCAAAACAACGTGCTTGTCTGTCGATTTGATCAAATCATGCAAAACTGTAAGTGAATCCAGGAATCCTAGTTTTAATTAAATTTAACAAGAATTGATCAACCTTTGTAGGTTTTGAAGTTTTCCCTAAACGAGCTTAGGCACATGGCTGGCTCCATGAGCTAACTTTTCTTCCCCTTTTTAAAAATCATTGGCTGAGGTTGCTAAGGTAGGTACCTCTTTAAAATAAATATAATACTAAAACAACTCCTACTATTGTCGTTCAGAAAATACGATGGACAGTTTAGAATTTGTACTCTTATCATGCTCGTTTTTTCAGGAGAGAGACGCGGAGTTTTATTTCGTAAAAACAGATGAAAACTTTCTATCTTTGAATTTTTAACGATTTCAGTAGCTATGTCTTGCACAGAATATTCCGTCAATATTTATATAAATTTCTTTCATTGTTTCTCCTTCTGAAGATACATATATAACAACAGCAGATATTTTTATCCTTCGTAACTGAGATACGTGTTTTGCGACTTTTTAATGCTACTTTACCGAAAGTTTGACTTGAACGTTTGCTTTAGATATTTCACAAATAGATTGAATCAAAAGCTGGCTCCAACTTCCTGAACCTTGTACATTCAAAAGAGGTAGTTTTAATGTGGTCAATTACAGCAAGAAAACTTTTGCATCGTTTTGTAGAAAAGATTCGCGTCGGGCTCAAATGAATAACAAAAAATCAATATTGTTGTAAGTGAAAAATGCATCTTGGAAGAAACCTGCTGAAACTTGGAGCTTTGAAGCATGGTAGAAAGTTCAATTGAAACGAGAGTCCATTGATATGGAAGGCGGAACTAATTGAAGTAAAGCTGTCTCGAAGCCAACAAATCTTCTATGTTGTGACAAAGGAGGTTCTCCGCAAAGTTTTGGCTTGAAAAAAAGTTTTTCTTCTAGGTGAAAGAAATACACACAATAAGAGCTATCACAAGAAATTGGCTCGTATCAAAGGCCATGAGAGCCAAATCATCCTCTGATTTTAAGAGCAAAAATTTTGATGGGGAACTCAGGGAAATAGTCACATTGCACTCAGCATCGTCAAAAGAAAATAAATAGGAAATAAGAGTTCGAATTCTTTTCTCTGTTTCACCTCACTCTTAGGTACAGGAGAAAATTGAATGGATGTTACATAGTTTTAGATCAAACTCCAGGTTTCTATGCACGATCTTGCATAATCTCGTGGGAATATTTTGAGTGAGACCGTATACGAAGATACGTGGGAGAAGAGAAGTGTGTTTACCACATTTAGCCGTGAGATATCTGGTTTATTTTTATCATATAAGACCATTTCATGTGTACGTGTTTTGAGCTGTAATATTATTCGAGTAGACCCACGGTAACCTTTATTTCATGATAGCGCTCATAAGTCAAGCTCCATATTTTCGAAAATATGTGGTGTAACGTTTTAGCCATCGATGTGCGTTTTCCTATAAAAATACATCAGGAGCTATAAAATTTAAATAAGGAAAAAAATATTGGAAATTAGAGATAAAGATGACTGGTCTCTACACAGAAAAAGATAGGGTAGTCGACACAACCAGCGGCTGGTTGAAAATGCGCCCGCTACCGTGCGGTAGTTACGATAACTACCGTGGTGGAGGTCACAACTAAGACGGTAGTTTCACCAACAACCAGGGATGTTGATGTAACTACCGGGTGACCCACTTTCACTGTCCCAAACTTTGAGAGGTCAAAATATCTCATCATTAAAAGGAACGACGTTGGAGTCATTTCAACATATTGATTTTATCAGAAGCTGTGTAAGGATGCAATTTAATAAGAGAGCCCTAATGGACTCACTTTTTAAATGCTCAGCCATCTCCCAAGGAGCACTTTATGATCAAAGTAAGTTAGAGTTTAGTTGAGTGCTTCGGAGTTTAACTGTCGACGAGCTGCCTCCTTTATTTTCCACCGTTACCTGTCCGACTTTGATTTCCTTCTCTCCGTTTTCTTTTAAAGTCTCCTGCAAATAATTTGGTACGTCATTTAGACGTAGAGAGAGTGGTGAAAAGCTCATCATGTCGACATGAAAACAAGCAGTGTTTTGCCTCATTCGATGCTCTGTAAGATTTGCGGAGGAGGGACATTGGAACTATGGACAGGAGCGGACAAACTCATAAAGAATAAAGGGAATGTAGGGTAATTGCGGGTGGTTGGCCGGGGCTCGAGCCGCAATCAGGGGTCATCAAGTTCAAATAAGTGTCTAAATTACGAGCGGCGATGTAAACGCAACGCCTCACAGTGGGATGCGTTCCCGATACTAGTAACAACGAGGAAACTTCAGATGTTAGAGGCAGCTGGTGCGTAATTGAACCAATGCATGCTGAAAGGACGTTAATCTAAAAACTCATGAGTCTTGGCTTTCGTCAATTGCGCAGGGCGCTAAGGCTCATGAGTTATTGGACTCACTCCCTTTCGACGTGCGTCGATTCCATTGTGATCGCCGACGAAGGGACGGTCCTTAGTACACGAAGGTAAATTTTAGTCATGTCGGAGAAATCAAGTTTTTTCATTTTCCCTCGAAATACGACCTTTGGCAGTTACGTCCTTCTTCAAGTGAATGTATTTAAATCAAGAAGTACTCGATGCATTGTGGCATGAGCCCTGTCATGCGTGTATTTTTTTGGATCTCAGGGGTCCATGTCACGTTTGTTAAATGTTATAATTCCTTTTGATTTAAATGCGTCCAAATGATTTGTTCAATTGTCGTGCAAGTACAGGAACTTGAAGTTACATCAAGACTCGGCAATCTACGGCTTCGAGCGTGACAAACCATAACTTCAAGTAATTTTCTTAATGTTTTTTACTTATTTACAAAATTGCATTTCAAAGTCGTGATTCAGGTTGGATTGACACTTTTGGGCATTTGTGCCAAAGTCTTTGCAGTTTTTCCCTTTTGCAGGAATACCAGTAACGAGGCGTGAATGATTGACTATCGATATTTCCCCATTTGAAGGTATAGTAAAGAATAGATTATTAAGGTGTTCGTCGCAAACCTCCTCTTTATCGATTCTTTTCCACAGGTTTAAATGACAGATCAGCCAATAGATCGCAAAGCAAGCCACGGCCACGCTACTGAGTGGTACAAAGTGCCAACAGCTTGATATTGAGTTTTTCGACATTTTATCCCTGACGGTCGCGATTTAAATTTTTGGACGATGGCATAGTATTCAGGAATC